ATAATTTTTCAACTTTGGACAATACTTTTTCGAACATTTACATTTACTTTTCTTTGAGTCCTCCACGACTGTAAAATCAATTTGTAACTGCAGGGCTGTAAACGGTTGCCTCATAAGAAACCACCATATATTTCATAAGCAAAGAATGGATATTTACTTAGAGATAAGTCTGCCACCACACTGAAAATAAACTTTGAAATATTCAGTTTGAGGATCCAGAAACATTTGCAACACAATATTTTAAGATAAAGAAAAACATTAAAAATGCATTGTGAAAACGAGAATTAACATGACAGGCCTAAAATGCCATTAAAGTGCCCTTTACCATCTCTTGTGCCGTCTTGACAGCCTCCTCCAGCCCGTAGACTTTGCCCTTCACGAGGAACACGCCTGCGGACCAGATGCCGCAGTCTTCATGGAGCCAGTACTCACAGGGCTCCAGGGGCAGCACAGGGGGGCTGTACCAGTCCTCCACATCTGCAGCGCTGGCGTCTGAGCGGGCCCGCTTAGCTGCGGGGCTGCCCGTGCCGTTACTGCTCCACCGGAGGCTCTCCAGGAGGCCCTTCTGTTTGAGCTGGCCTCCCGGCCTGAAGGACCACTGTGTGGGCGGAACGGCACGCTTCCTCCTCCTGCCTCTGACACTGCAGGATGAGGAGTCTGAATCGCTGTCACCGTCCTCCTCCTCCTTGAGCTGCGTTATGCTGGCTGGTGTTTTAGTGCTTGGCTGGTACCCCTCTGGGTAGTAAGGGCCGTGGAGGTCCCCCAAGTCCATGGCATTGGCCGACTGCCCACACAGGCAGCAGACAAGAGAGCGCTGGTGCTGGCTGTGTGTGGACACCCGGCCCAGCTGGAGACAAGACGTACTGGGTACAGCTGCAGAGATTAATTCACTGGGGTGAGCCTGCTGCTGCTGGCCCTTCTTGCATTGTGTCCTCGCCTCCTCTGGGTAGTTGATTACAGTACACAGTAAAGGCGATGGCTGCCGACGCTCCATGCGGATGAATGGAGAGAAACTGTCTGACCTCAGTTCTCTTTTCTCTTCCTTGTAGTTGACGTACTTCAGCTTGATCTCCGGCTCCTTGGGGGAGAACATGGACAAAGATAGGCTGCTTTTAAGTTTCCTTTGCCTCCTCTTGGCAACACGAGGGGACTTCGTCTTGGCAGTGGGAGATGTTTTGCTACCTACAGCCTTGCCTTTGGCTTTCCCTGGACTTTTCTTTGGAGAATTTGACGGCGGTGGGGAAGAGTTTGCCACATACATTTCCACTGAGGGTTTGGGGTGAGACAGAGGCTCTGGCTCCTTCTTAGAGTTCTTGTGAGCAGAAGACTGAGGACTGGACTGTGATGAACGTGTCCTCTTTGACTGCGTGGGGCTAGTCTGTGGTGAACGTACGGGGAGTGAAACATCCTTTGGCTCTTCCCTTGTTCTCTTGTGCACAGCAAGCTGAGGACATTTTGGAGGTGTGCTGTTATGTGACTTTTTAGAAATGCTGAGTTTAGAGTCAGAGGTAGAGTCAGTGTTCATGTTATTAGTTTGAACCCTTTTCACTGGAGTTCCTGCTTTTTGTTTTATTGTTTTCACTGAGAAGGAGGACCTCGCTCTGCTTTTCCTTTTTCCTACTGGCAGGGTGTTTTTACTCTTAGGATCTGTTAAGTTAGAATCATTAGCTGTTGGTGGGGAAGCACGGGCTTTCTTATTGGTGCGTATGCATCCTGATACTTTATACCTGCTTGAATTTATGTTCATAACTATAGCCTCCAGTCGCGTCCCTCTGCTGGAACGCCACGGCAGTTTTTTTTCTTTTAAAGTTCTCTGTTGTGCCTTTGCATTCCCATTCATGTGGGGACTAACGGTCTTGGGCTTGTCCTCTAAAACATCGGACACACACACATCATCTGTCAAGTCAATAAAAGACTCTATCACTGACTTCTGTCCACGGACCGGCTGCTTATTTTCATCGATTGAATCCAACCTTGTGATGCCAGAGCCTTCCTGAATGGACCCTTCTGTTCTAGAGACATCCCATGCAACCTCTTCTGCTGCCTCTAGACAGGCGTTGTCGCCGCTAGGCGAGTTGGAGGCCTGAGGAAGGATGAACACATCCTCAACATCGTCCAGTGAGGTAGCGGAGGGGGAGACGGGGTCCTCCAGAGGACTGATGTACTCCCTGCTCAGGGAACACAGGTCTCTAGCAGCCACACTGTCCAGGACGACCACCGGGTCCTGTTTTTGAGACATGAGTAAGAGCACCTCAGATTTGCCCTTCACCGGATCCTCTACTGTCACAGGGGTGAGAGTCTCTGGTGAGGATTCTGCACATGCTACTGAACTCGACTGACTATCATCTCGACCATTCATCAAACGCATACTGGGTTCCACTTCCTCGTCCACGTACCCATCACTGGAAACCAGTCCACCGTTAACCTCTCGAGACTCCGGTATTAGACATACTCCCCCATCCTTCTCTGGTCCCGCCTGAGATAATGACTGCAAAGGTTCTGGCTGAAGGGCGAGGGCCACTGGTCCCTCAGCCTGTTCTAAGTAATGCTGGTCCAGTGAAAATCCTGTCTCCCCGAGCCCTTTCTCTGAGTCACATGACGGGTGGAGGGAGAAGTTGCTAATGGGTGGCAAAACGCACAGAGGCGAGTGTCGAGACAGCGAGTCTTGAGCTGAGAATACGTGAGACCGGCTCACATAGGAGAGGGTGACTGTAGTGCGAGAGAAGGCATTGTCTGGTTGAACGTGTTCCCCTGATTGGAGCGCGACGTGCGAGGGGCCGGTCTCTGCGGAGGGGAATCCTGGGTTGCTGCTCGCAGAATTCGCATACCGGCCCGGGCTCTTGACGATCCGCAGGGCATCGAGGGACGTGGAGTTGAGGACACATTCCTCGCCTTTCCTGGACAGGTCGATCCCAGCGGGGATGCTGGAGGTGGAGAGGTCCTGAGGCTGTAGATCATCTACGCTCCCAGGTGGCTGCTCCATAACAACTGAAATGGACGGAGAGAGGGGAAGAAACTTGTGATTGTGACATCTACTAATGAAAAAAACCAAGAACAGTACATTTCTGATTTCTGGTTTATTTTTTAGTTGTCATTAACTATCTAGATAAGATTGAATGACGTCTTCTTTCTTAAGGTCACAGTAAAGTGAGCTACACGTTTCATTCACTGGTCATTTGTTGTTTGATTTTGTTTTGAAGACTCAAGCCTTCACATCTCAAGTCAGAACGTGGACTTTAGCTTGAAACCTGGCGTGTGCTTGTATTTCACTAACATTTGAGGGATTGACTGACAGGTCACGTCATAACTTGTTCCTACTTTATGTTATTATTAATGGACGTTGTTGGTTTTAAGTTGTTGTGTTCAGTGGACAGAGTGTTTCCGGACACTGAGTCACTCTTTGCCCCCAACATTGACAGGTCACACTTGCTAGCGACAGTTAGCTTATCTTAGCCGCAGCTAATATTAGCTTGCTAGGCCCGGCTTAGCTCCGGTGACGTTCCCTTATGGCGAACTCCATCAACTACCACGCAACTTTAATGTATTTCTCCGTTACGATAGAAAGCTGCACACAATTGTACGCGGCTTTCAAACCCCCACTGTTCAGTAATATCCACTCTTTAATTCGGCAAGGTTTTTATTCACTAGAAGCGCACTGCTTCGATAAAACGGCAACTTTTACAGCTTAGTGATCCGCACTGATCGTGACTGCTCCCTACGACTCTGAGTAACTTTGTTGCAGCGGAACCAATTTGAAAATGTTAGCTCTCATTTCAGAACACGTTTGTTTATATATTACATGAGCTCCGATTTGCAGAGTGCATCTTGACGGTGCTGAAAAAAAGTAAAATAGTTAGAAACTTAATGCAAAAACTCGACGGTGAGAGAGGTTTTATTAAAGTGCAGAGTACTTGTCATGGGGTTTGGCGACACGTTCTGTGCATTGAACAGAGCGGAGCGGACCGGGGAAGGCCTGGCGGATGAGACAAAGAGGAGGTAATGCGCCGCTCATCCAAACTTACCGGGACCGGAGAGACCGCAGCGTTATTAAACGTCCCGTTAACAATCCGTCCCCCCCGGCATCTCCTCCAGCAGCCCACCTACTCTAACTACCGGCGACCACACGGGGAGAAAGCCCCACATTGACTGCGGACCCTCACACTTTCTGAGACACACTTCTCTGAGAGCAGCTGCGTCAACTCCACTGTACCAGGTCCAGCTTCCGGATCGACCTTTCACAATAAAACTACTAGTGGCCCGTCTCAGTTGGTCTTCGAACATGAGGATCAAAAGTACAATGACACATGATATAACAATGGAAGTTGTTGAACGCAAACCTTTTGCTGTTTAGGCCCAGTCCTGAATCAGTTGTCTGTAATCCAGCTGTTGCATAGAGGCTTTCAAGCAGTGGTGGATCCAGCATTTTTCTATATCACGGGCCATAACGGGGGCCACTTTTTACAAAAGCTGCTTTCAGACATGCACTGAACTCCACAGACACTAGGTATCTTCTCAAGACGATGTGCACATGTGAACGCAAATGTCAGAGTGAGAGGCTCTGTAGTTTCTGCAGAGTTTATCCGCCTGGCCTCCGAGTATTCAGCCCGTAGAAATCCAGGAGAAGTCAAAGGTTCTTCTATGGCTCCTTTCCACACAACAGGAGGAAGACCCCTCCTCAGCTTACAATAGAAAGAATGGAAAAGACTGACTCTTCTCAACATAGAGAACGTTTCTACAGAAGAAATCCACAACTTAGAAAATATGCACCCAGGAGAAAACCTTTAAAATAGAGAAAGAGTCAACAAGCTGAAGATTATAATTGAACACAGAAGAAACACTGCACCCGACCTGCCGACATGGGACTTTGACTTTAAAGATTTTTGGAGTTTGTACTGAGTTTGAGTATTTTTTAAGAGAATTCAAGTTTCTGGTAGTGAACAGGTGTCAATGATGCTTCGGATGCGCTACAGATGCACAAAGAAAAGAAAAAACAAATATCTCACAGTGAAAAATCAGTGTCACACATGATGAAAAACACAAACGAAGATGTCAAGAGAGTTTGTGGGGATTAGAGCTTAAACCGGTGTCTGTGTGCAGTCAAGAAAATCACGTGATCTACGTGGCAGAGTTAATACGTCACCTCCTGTCTCTGTCGGCTGCAACTGGCTGCTCCACCTCTCGCCTGAATAATGAGGAGGATTTGATGCTAGACGCATCTGTGCAGAAAACCTCCCACTGTGTTGTGCATGCGTGAAAGGCGAGGTCATGAAAACGGCTAAACAAGGGCCAATAGAAGCTGTGTCTGAATTCAGGGGCGTATCCTTTGGAGGACGTACGCGGTCTACCCGGCTCACAAAGATTGCTTCCTTAATGGGTTGCGTAGACCTCAGAGGCCGCATTGAAATGAGGCTTTCCGCGGCCTGCTCGTACCGCCCCTTATTGCTGTCACCTAACAACAGAGCTGCAGTTGCACATGACCAGAGTTTCTCTGGGATGAAAGGATGCATTTTTCGTCCAAATCTGAAAGAGTCTTTGAAATGGGACAGCTTAGTTGTGCCACTGTGTCAAACTCTGCCCCTGAATTGAGACAAACTTTATATGTCCAACATTCACAAACAGATCCTGATTCAGTAACGTGCACAAATCCTTGTTTCCTGTAAACTCTATAGCTTTGAAGACACACAACACTGGCTATATTTTGAAAATTGTTCCTTGTTCAAGTACAGGCACACTTAGACAATACAAATGCTTAACAAAGTATTAGCATTGTTAGTAACTAGTTTTTTACTTTCAAAGACGTCAGACAGGGCAAGGGTATTTCAGGGGCCAATCAGATTTCAGCTGTGGAGCCAGTGGGCCCCCCTGCCTCTGCCCCTAGATTCACCCCTGCTCTCAGGCCACAGTCATCTCAAAAGTGAAGCTGAAGTCAAGCAGCAAAGATGTGTTGTCTTGACATTGCTGTAACCTGTGTGCTTGATAAGCTGGCTTGATAAGTTCAATGTGTGGTTTTGAAATGCCATGCGTGTGAAGGATTTGTAAATATTTGTTAACAAATGACTCACACTATCTCCAGAAGTCGAGTCATTTCCTTCATTTTTTCACACCATCTCTGATTGAGCAGTAGTTGCTGATTGATAAAATCATTACATAGCAAATACACATTTACAGATGACTGCAAATGTCAAATGAGATTAACCTTTCAGGCTGCGTTAAAAAAACTTCCCCTAATGTCTCCCTTAACGTAACCAATTTTGATATATTGATTGATGTTGATGTATATATTTTCGACTATGTGACAAATACACAACCCCTCTAAACTCGAGGTGACATGAACAGTGTGATGAAGTTGAGCCCATAAAAGTGGACCCTGTGTTTCCATCAATGTGTAAAATAAAGTAAAAACAGTCACTCAAACCAAAGGGTGCAAAAATATTTATTGCTAATAAACCTGTAGTCAGTTGGTGTATATTTGCTTTATATTTACAATAATAGAGTACAGAGGAATGGGAATGTGAAAGAAAAAAAAATCCCAACCATTTAAATAAATACAAAGGGACTGCCACTGAACAAGACTACAAACAGAAACCAACTCCAACAACTCCTATACAGCTGGATGATTGCAGTGAGAAAA